ACCTCTCCTCCCGGTCATATTGTGCTTTCCTGCACTCTGACATTGTCTGCCTCCACGCAGTCGTCTGTGCTATGTCAGTGTGGGAGGACACCATGAGCTCAGAGAACATTTCATCACGAGTGTGTTTTTTTCACCTTCTAATCTTCACTAGCTTCTGGGAAGGAGAAGATCCTGTGATCATTGAAACACATGCAGCTGGTGGAGAAAAAAAAAGGGACAGTGGTATTTAAAAAGACACATTTTCTAGAACAATGGGTACACTCTTTCACGGTAAACCTTGCTGTTAACATTACATACACAGCACATGTGCTTTCGTTCCAAGGTCGCATTTTGCCTCCCCCCACCACGTGGCTAGCCCCTCACCCTGACCACCCCCCCGGCTAACAGTGGGGAACATTTCTGTTCAGCCACAGGCAAACAGCCCAGCAGGCCCCTGCATGTCCCCTTAAGAAAAGCACCCTATTTCAACCAGGTGACCATGAATGATATCACTCTCCTGAGGATAACACAGAGAGATAAAGAACGGATGTTGTTTGAATGCCAGCAAACATACACTGCAATGCTTTGTTCTACAATGATTCCCAAGTACGTGCTACTGGCCTGGTGTGGTAAAGTGTCCTACCATGGTGGGTGGAATAAGGCTGCCCTCCCCAGAAACCTTTTGCAAAGGCTTTGGGAGTACATCCAGGAGAGCTGCAAATGCCAGGGCAAATTAATCTTTAAACATGCTTGCTTTTAAACCATGTGTAGTATTTTAAAAGGTACACTCACCAGAGGTCCCTTCTCCGCCTGGTGGGTCCGGAAGGCAGCCTTGGGTGGGTCCGGGGGGGACTGCCTCCAGGTCCAGGGTGAGAAACAGTTCCTGGCTGTTGGGAAAACCGGTTTCTCCGCTTGCTTGCTGTGAGCTATCTACAACTTCTTCATCATCATCTTCCTCGTCCCCAAAACCTGCTTCTGTGTTGCCTCCATCTCCATTGAAGGAGTCAAACAACATGGCTGGGGTAGTGGTGGCTGACCCCCCTAGAATGGCATGCAGCTCATCATAGAAGTGGCATGTTTGGGGCTCTGACCCGGAGCGGCCGTTCGCCTCTCTGGTTTTCTGGTAGGCTTCCCTCCGCTCCTTAAGTTTCACACAGCATTGCTTCGGGTCCCTGTTATGGCCTCTGTCCTTCATGCCCTGGGAGATTTTGACAAAGGTTTTGGCATTTTGAAAACTGGAACGGAGTTCTGATAGCACGGATTCCTCTCCCCCTACAGCGATCAGATCCCGTACCTCCCATTCGGTCTATACTGGAGCTCTTTTGCGATTCTGGGACTCTATCATGGTCACCTCTGCTGATGAGCTCTAGCCAGCGTGGCAAGCTGCAGGTGACCATGCAAACAGGAAATTGAAATTCAAAAGTTCACGGGCCTTTTCCTGTCTACCTGGCCAGTGCATCTAAGTTGAGAGTGCTGTCCAGAGCCGTCACAATAGAGCACTCTGGGATAGCTCCCGGAGGCCAAAACCGTCTAATTGTGTCCACAGTACCCCAAATTCGACCCGGCAAGGCCGATTTAAGCGCTAATCCACTTGTCAGAGGTGGATTAAGGAAATCGATTTTAAGAGCCCTTTAAGTCGAAAAAAAGGGCTTCATCGTGTGGACGGGTGCAGGTTTACATTGATTTAATGCTGCTAAATTTGACCTAAACTCCTAGTGTAGACCAGGGCTTAATCTAGCAAGGTGCAGGCTTTGTTCAAGGGGCTTTGTCTCACCAGTCTTCCTTTTTCCCAGCCAAGGCTGATTTTCTCTCAGTCAGGACATTCCACAGAAGCACAAGGGGCTGGTTTCTCTTGTCTTCCTAGGTGAAAGGTCTTAGCCTTATCCCAGAGGCAGCAGATCAGAGCCCTCTTTCCTGAACAGGACATCTGCCACCATATTTTTCTTGCCCCTTATATGGAAGATACCTATTTTCTCACCTTTGGCTGTTTACAGTCTCCAGGATACAATGTCAGAGAGTATCTATAATTGCATCCACTGAGTTGTTATGGACATTTCACAGGGACGTTAATGACCAGTGTGGTGTTAGATTTCAAAGGACATATGTCTGAGGTGTAGAGAGTATGTCAGGCCTGAGGAGTTGCTGATACAGAGCAGTGAGCCACAAATGGGCTGCTGTGTCACAGCATGGTGAGTGGGCTAATGCCAACTGAGGTCTCTCACTAGAGCAGGTTGGATGCAGCTGTGGGGGGACAGTGATGACATTTTCACCTCCAGCAGTCTTGGATGATACCTGCATATGCCTGTAAGCATGCCATTGCCAGGAATGCTGCTATTCCCTGCCCTGCTGAAAACGTAGAGCTGCTTTTGAGGTTTTGGCATCTGTTTGACTCAGACTCCATGATAATTCCTTAGAAGTTAGCCAGCTTAGAAAGGAGCAGCCAAATGCTGCTCCTAGTTATGCCTCTGGCAATCTGGAGTACCTCCACTGGGCCAAATCAATCCCTGGTGTAACTACAAGAATCTCAATTCTGGACTGTGCTCCCACCTCCTACACTGGTGGATGTGAGGCGGACAGTGAAGACATCCACTCAGCTCTTGTACTAGGGTAATTTTCGACCCATGTGATCACTTTATAGTCCTAATATGCCTCCCAAAAGTGGCAAAGAAAGGCCAGAGCAGGGACCTGACTCTGACCCTTTGACTTCAGTTTACACCCCTGTATCTGAAAGGGAAAATGTTTTCGGTGGTGACATTATCTGAAAGTAGAGGGTAGAACTCAGACTCCCTACGTGAACGCAACTCTGTGGAATCCATTTACACCAGGTCTGAATTTGGCCTGAAGCCTTCTTGTTCGTGAAGGGAATCATCCTTTCTTATAGTCTTTGTGGTGAATTTGTATTTACCTGGTCTATTTTGCACAGAATAGCCTGGATTAATCCTTGAATACTATACATTTACTGTTAGAAAACTATCACTTTCGTCCAGATAAGGCTTGATGTTCTAGTAACGAGATGGTTTTTTTCCCCCCATAAAACTACATGGAATGGGGCAATACACAGAGCCTCATGGAGGAATACCTGATAGCTTCACACTAGAACGCTGTAGAGTTCATGGCGCACAAGTTTTGGTGAGGCAGGTGTCATGGAGAGTAGCTTTTTCTCACCTGCACTCCACCTCCCCCTTCTTCACCCATCCCCAAATCACCTTGAGTCTTAAGCTTGTGGTGTTGAAACACAGGGGCTTCCTCAGTGCCCACTGCACCCTAATTACCTACACAGCCCCTTGCCTCTTCTGAATGAGAAAGGGGGATCTGGAGGAGTTGATGGGTTTAGAGAGAACCTATTCAAAATAAGTTGTTATGATGCCTGCCATTGCTAGAATGTCTTATCTTGGTTTAAATAACAGGGAAAGACTTCATTTGGGAAACATACACACTGAAGCTGAAGGCATCTAGTGATACTTCAGTGCACTTTAAAGAAAAAGAGTAACTCCTGGCTTCAGCCACTGTGTAACTATCTGCAAACTCATTTTTTTCTGTTCCCCTCTTCCCCTCTCTCTCTCTTCCTGGATGCCTAGTTATTTTGGAGAAACACCATGCCATCCAGCTATCTCTGATGATAAGCATTAGGAAAGTTGTAATGCGAATTGTGATGATGGCAGAGACTTGTGTAGATGAGGTGACATTTACTTCGGGGCCTTGTTTGCAATCAGAGAAGTGCCTGAAACAATTTCTGTGCTCAAATATACTGAGTTGTTCATTCTCTTTCTCTCATATTACCTAGAATAACTTGGCTCTTTCCTATAGCTTGGGCAAGACACACCACTGCGGTGTAATCACTCTGGCAAACGCTGGGTTTTCATGCTGCATACTCTGTTTTCTTGTGTGTGAGGGAGGAGTATATACGTGTGTGTGATATTTTTATTACACTCACGCTTTCTCACACACAGCACATTTAAAAATTCAGCATATGCCACCACAGTCACAGTTCAGTGGTGTCTCTGGCCCAGATTACAGGAAGATTCCACAGTGGTGAGAGGTAGCTTGAACAGGGAAAGTTGCATTTTTAATGGTGCTTACAATATATAGTCTAAACTGTGGTGATTTATTTTGTTACTCTAAATTATTCCTGCTGGCTGTGGATAAATGAGGAAGAGTCCATTTTTAGTCTGACTGTTGCTTTTTCTTTGCTTCCCAGCAATCCAATTTTTGTCTTAAAAAATACATCTAATTAAAGGACACATTATTCAGCAGGCACGCTTTTAAATGCATAGCTGATTATCTACTTCCTGTAATTGGTGGCTTGTATATTGAAACTTTGATTGAGTTGGCAGCCAATAAAAGATTATTTTTTAATTAGACATTCTCATTCCTGCCATTTGGGAATAGGGGATTTCCACCCCTTATTTGCTCCTATTCAGGAACACACAGTAATCTCTCACTAGCCATCAATGTCATTTTTTCCCAGATGAGAAATAAATTGAAATCTCTCTCCCTTGCAAAACCGGCATGGCTAGCCAGTATTTGTCATTTCAGTTTGAGAAGGCACTGCTAGCAGGATAGACATGCATATAGTATGCCGAGACCTGTTTAAAGTACTGAGATTTACTTCCTGTCCCAAAGGTTTTTTTTTTTTTTTTTTAAGTTTGTTCTTCATTAGAAATTCTGTATTTACATCAGGAGAATGTTGACATGAAATTATGACCCGTAACTATCCTTTTATAGGATACCAAACTCATTTTCCCCCTGACAGACCGAGCGATTGTTCACTGCCATAAAAGGCATCCCACGTAACCTCTTGCCCTGCAAACTCCATCTAAAGTGATGGTTCCTCCAGAGGCCCTTTTTTCCGCTTGATAAATGGTGCTGTAGCCCATCTCTGAAGTACTATACAGTATCATAGACGTGTCATTCTTTGGTAATAGCAGAGCTGCCAAGCAGGGTGTGTAGTGAAACATTGATAGCAATGCATTTTGCTAGCAGGGATTCTTAGATTTAGGGGTGTGTGTGTTTTTTTTCAGGTGTGGGCAATATTTCAAGACAGGTGCGGAGACCACCACCCTTTTCATTCCCAACCATGTGAGCCATCTCCTTCCATTTGAAACTGCGTTCGGTTCATGTGGCAGTCACAGCAGGCGCTTTCATGGGCGAGAACCAGGTAAGTCGTGACTATGTTTTCAGCAGTCCTTTTAAGTTAGACACCGGAAATGAGGAGGAGTGGCTGGCGCCCCACCTCAAGTGCTGCACTGCCACTAGTTTTGAGAATACGGGTGCTAGGTTTACCCAGTGCCAGTTTCCAATTGTTTCTGTAGTTGTGTGATCCATTGCTTGTGAATACATGCTGCCCTACAGCGCTGGACGCCAGTGACCTCCGGCTCTCTCACGCTCAATTGAAAATGTGCAGTTCCCCTGCCCTGTGTCTATAAGTCCATCTCCACCCTCCCAAAAAGTGCCAAATTCATCTTTAACCTACCGTTGAGGTAGGCTTATGCATTCCTTGATCATTGTCCTGCTGACTGTTTCAAATCTCTCTCTCTCATGATCCTCCTATGTGCCTTAGTTTCTAAACAATATGGACCTGATTCTCCTCTCCCTTCCACAGCTTTTACACTGGTATTGCACGATCATCTGCAGTGGAGTTACTCCTGATTTACACCAGGCTAAGGGCATGTCTACACTGGCAGAGTTACAGTGCCGCTCAGAGAGCGCTGAAGGGAAACCGCTGTTGTGTGTTCACAGTGTCAGCTGCCTGTGCAATAGCGTGTTCACACTTGCGGCACTTGGAGCAGTGCACTCTGGGCAGCTATCCCACAGAGCATCTCTTCCTCTTCTGCCACTAAGAGCTGTGGGAAGACGGAGGGTGTCGTGGGGCACCCTGGGTCCTGTTGCAATGCTCCGTGATGCATTGGTTTGCATCCCACCAAGTCCTGTGCTTCCATCTCCATTTGGTGACATCTTTCAATGGTTTGTGTACTGCATGCTCTGCCTCTTTGGTCTGCAGGAATGGATCTCGCACTGTTGACCAATATGATGCTCGCTCTCACTAACACGTCACGAGTGGCAGTGGGCATTATTCCTTAAACTACAAAGGCAAGAGGAGTTCGACACTGATCTCGCCACCCATAGTAGTTACGACATGATATTGCTCTGTGGCATTCACAGAGGTGCTGACCACAGTGGAACGCCGCTTTTGGGCTCGGGAAACAGGCACTGAGTGGTGGGATCACATCATGATGCATGCCTGGGATGATGAGCAGTGGCTGCAGAACTTTCGGATGAGGAAAGCCACATTCATGAGACTGTGTGATGAACTTGCCCCAGCCCTGCGGCGCAAGGACACGAGAATGAGAGCTGCCCTGTTGTTGGAGAAGTGTGTGGCGATTGCACTGTGGAAAACTGGCTACTCCAGACTGCTACCGATTGGTCGCTAACCAGTTCGGCGTGGGAAAGTTGACCGTTGGACTCGTGTTGACAGAAGTGTGCAGGGCCATTAATCCAATCGTGCTCCGAAAGGCCGTGACTCTGGGCAACGTGCGTGACATTGTGGATGGCTTTGCACAAAAATGGGCTTCCCTGACTGCAGAGGGGTGACAGATGGCACGCATATTCCAAATCTGGCACCAGACCACCTAGCCACCCAGTACATTAATCAGAGGGGGTATTTCTCTATGGTTCTCCAGGCACCTGTGGATCACCGTGGGCATTTCACGGACATTAACGCAGGCTGGTCTGGAAAGGTGCTTGGCACACGCATCTTTCAGAACACTGGCCCGTTCAGGAAGCTGCAAGCAGGGACTTTCTTCCCGGACCAGAAGATCACCGTAGGGGAACTCGAAATGCCCTTTGTGATCCTGGGACACCCTGCCTACCCCTTAATGCCGTGGCTTATGAAGCCATACATGAGGCACCTTGACAGCAGTAAGGAGCAGTTCAGCAACAGGCTGGGCAAGTGCAGAATGACTGTTGAGTGTGTATTTGGTCATTTAAAAGCCCGCTGGTGCTGCCTATATGGGAGGCTGGACCTGGCCGATGACAATATTCCTATGCTTATAGCCACGTGCTGTACGCTCCATAATATTTGTGAAGGGAAGGGTGAAAGCTTCACTCAGGTTTGGAACACTGAGGCTTAGCGCCTGGAAGCTGAATTTGAACAGCCAGAGACCAGGACTATTAGAGGGCCACAGCGCGGGGCCATAAGGATCAGAGATGCCTCGAGATAGCAATCTGAAGCTGAAAGCCAGTCATATTTGTTGCTATGCTCGGGAGTGCAGTACTTGTAATGCTAGGAGGTGATTGTGATTGGTACAGATGATGCACTGTGAAGGTGTAAGAAAACTGGCTGTTGCTTTGAAGGGCTCTGTTTGCTTTCAGTTAATGGAATAAAGATTGCTTTCAAACCAAAGCAATTCTTTTATTAAAAAACAACAACCGGAGGGGAGAGACAAAAAACAAACACATCAGCACTGAGGGGGATGGGAGAAGGGAGGGTCCCAGGAGGAGGTGGGGTTCCGGGACGGTTAAAGGTTTATGTATGTCCAGATATCATATGCAACCTTGTCCTTTGGAGTACAGTGCAGCAGGTTCTGTACTTCAGCAGGGCTAAACTGCAGAGGGACGGGTGTTGAGTGCAGTGTGTACTGGGAGTCTGAAGGACCGGACTGTGACGGGGCAGGAGTGGAATGCAGCCGGTACAGACTGGAGCCAGGAGGTTGATAAGAGTGTGTTGGTGCTGTCTGGGGGTCGAATGGGAAAGAGTTTTGCGACAGCGGCTGCAGGGAAGGCAGATGTGGAGCTGCTTGCAGTGCTAGTAGCACCTGGAGCATGTTCGTTTGGCACTCCATAACGTTTAAGAGCAGCTCTGTGGCTTCGTCTTGGCGTGCTGCATTCTCCTTTCAGTCCCTATTCTCGCTGTCCTGTCATTCCTTCAATTCTTGTTTTTCGGCAGCGGAATGCATCATGGCATCACGCAGAAAGTCCTCTTTAGTTCTTTGTGGCCGCTTTCTAATTCTGCGCAGCTGTTCAGCCAGTGATAACAAAGAGGGAGGCTGGGCTCCCAAGGTCATATCTGTGAAGCCAAAATGCAACATTTTACAGAAGCTGTATTGTTTGCAACACACAGACCACTGATTCAGTGATTTAAAACACAGCCACTATTCACATACCTGTCACTAACTGGCTGACCCCAGGCGAGCACACGGGAGCCACAAGACCCCCAAAATTGTGAGTAACCACAGGGGCAGGGAAAATCAGTGTTCCAGAACCATACTGTACATTGGGCATGTGGCTCTTGGGAAGAGCCAGCACTGTAGTGGGGGCTTTATAATCATTACTGTCCCCACATTTTCTATAGACTGTGTTCATTATGGAAGATATCTCACTGCTGCAGGTGAGCAGAGAATCAAGGGAGGGTCTTCTCCAAGACTGCAGCTTCCCCCCTGGCCCTTATGCGCTCACCTGTGTGCAGAAATGGTGTCGCCCCAGTGATGGGCAGAGTGGTGCAGGAGAGCTACCCTTAATGGGGCAAGAAACGAAGCAGCTCTGCCAAAGTCTCCATGAGAATTTCGTGGAGATCTGAGGCAGATTCCCATGAAGTGAGGGAGTCAATCAACACCCTGTTCCGCCACTCAGACTAGGCATGTGGTGGTATGCACATCACACAGATACAAGCCCGCTTTCTGCACCCCTCCTGTCCCAACAACTCTCTTCAGCGATTCCCAAAATCAAAGCCAGTTACCAGAGGCCTCCTGTACTGTTTGCACTTGCCAAGCTCCAACCACTGTGACTGGTTAGCCTCCTCCATGGTACAGAAGAGCTCCTGGCTGCATGCATCTCTGACCTCGGAGTTGTTTTCTGCTTCTGGGTCTCCCTCCTAGTCCACATCCTTGTCGAAGATTTCCTCTTCCTGGCTTGGTCCACTCTTGACTGGCACGCGAGCCACTGAAGTATCCACAGTGGCCTTCACAGTGGAGGTGGGGACGCCATTGAGTATCACGTCCAGCTCTTTGTAGAACTGGCAGCTCATGGGTGCAGCACTGAAGTGGTGCTTTGCCTTCAGTGCCTTGTGTAGGCGTTCCGCAGCTTCTTCACTTTGACCCTGCACTGCAGTGTGTCCCAGTCATGGCCCCTTTCTGTCATGCATCATGAAATCTGTCGTAGGTATCATAAATGCTGGAGCTCAGCTGGGACTGGACAGCCTCCTCTCCTCAAATGCTGATGAGATCCAGCAGCTCGGCATTGCTCCAAGTGGGGGATCGCCTGGTGCGTGGAGCAGGCATGGCCATCTGGAAAGATGCGCTGAGACCACTGCACGCATCACCGAGCAAACAGGAAGGGGACTTTCAAAATTCCCAAGGAATTTAAGGGCTGGGGCTGACAGTTGGTCACCTGAGGGCAGGACAGTAGGGTTCAAACCAATGACCAGAGAGGCGAGAACAGGCATTGTGGGACACTTCCCGGAGGCCAATCACAGCACTGTAATCGACCAGGGTGTCTACACTGGCATCGTGGCACTGTACCCCTGGCGCAGAAAGCTGTAAGCCTCTCGTCGGGGTGGTTTTTTTACAGCGCTGCAACTGTGCAATTCCTGTGCATTAAGTGGCTTGGCAGTGTGTACACCTCAGGAGTTATAATACAGAAGGTTGCTTTATTGCGCAGAAGGTTGCCAGTGTAGACAAGGCCTAAGTGAGTAGAGAATAGGGCCCCACGACTTCTACTATGTTGAAACAACATTATTCTCTTTGTGCAGAATGTGACATTTTATCACCCCTCCCTTCCTCTGCTGAATACCATCCTAAGGGCTTTCAAAGCTCTCTGTGGACTTGCCTGATGCTACCTCTTTGATCTTGTATCCACCCCCATACACATTCATTCAGTTCCTATAATCTGGATATCTCCCGTGAGCCTTCCCCTCAGCCCGGAACATGTGGGTGTTTCTCTCTTGTACTCATTTATCTGGAACTTTGAGCCACTGAGTCACTTCCCCTGTCTGAATCTCACCGTAATCAAACCTCACCCTCTTATACAGCTGAGTGCCTGGGCTGCCACTTGGTGACATTGTGCAGGAAGGCAGGCTCTGTTACTAGCCCTGCTCTGGGACAGCACAGATATTGTTCTATGCTCAGCCACAGCTATTGATTCAGGGCCAAACTGTGGCACCTAGATACTGGCTACAGTAGGGAGTTCAGGGTGGGGTTGTGCCTCAGAAAAGGAGAACTGCTCTTGGTGATGATGCGGGAGGACAGGCTTTCTGCTGTGCTGAGTTTATGCCAGTCAGGGAGCTGGTTAGGGTGCCAGGATTCTCTACCTAGCTCCAATGCATGTTAGAGCAGCTGTGAGGTCTGCTCCAACCTGTGCCGGCTGCCAGCAGCCCCCCAGGGACCATCCACCAGCTGAGCATAGTCACACCTCAGCCACTATCCCTTTTCACTCCCCATGCAACCCTCCTCCCTCCTATCAAGCCTGGTTACACAGGCTCTATCTTGGGACTCTCTCACAACAGGGGATCCCCACTGGAGATTTAGGTCCCCCTTAGGACTGCTGCAGCACGAAGAGGGCAGAGAATCTGGGTCCAGAAGTGGTTTTCTGTTGAAAGGGACCTCCGTGCCTCAAATTGGGAGGGCCTGATTCTGAAAGGGCCTTGATGTCTTAAGGGTTTTTTCACATAATGGTATGTTTTACCTGGTGGTGTTGGCACATGTGTGTCTGGTCTCGTCTGCATCCAGGGAGCTTGCTGGGATTAAATAGCTTTATAAAGAGCATTTTGTCAAAGGTGGTGATTCGAGGCTGCATTTTAATGCCATTGACTCACTTCACAAAGCATAAACTAAGAGCTTCCTATTAGCAGAAGTGAGCTCCTTCCCCACAGTAATTGCTCAGTTGCCCTTTATGTGGGGGAGAAGAAATCTGAGGTGGCAAGTAGATAAGTAACCTCTCACTGCAACTGCATCTTCAGCAGGCCTTTCTGTGTGGCAGGTGTAACTTTTGGAGAGGACATATGCTGCAGTCGCTTTTCCTCGTCACCCACCAAAAGCAAGCTCAGGTGACACGTGAGTCAAATGATCTGGAGAACAGCCTAAGGGCAAGTTTTTATGCAATGCACAATATCGAATGAACTGATACTCTCTGCGTAACTGGGTATTAGGAGCAGTATTGTAATGACATGCAGTGTTTTGCTTCCCTCTAGGAACAGCAATTTACAGTTTTTTGTTTGAAAAACGATAAATATTCACAAAGTGATATGTCTGGGGCCACAGGGTTGTCCTGTAAGTTCTGGATGCAGGGACACAGCAGAGCTGTTTGCAACTCCCCAATCCTGGGGCTGATTCTGTGCCATCCCTGTCCTCTCCATAATTTAGAGCAGCCTCAGGGAAGGTTTACATTCAACCAGTAGCCCCCATTATGCTGATTGGGGATCAAAGAAGCACCACTTTCTGGCCATGTCTGCCCCGCCCACCTCCCCCAAAGCATGCTTCCTACAACTGTGGTCTGGAAGATGATGGTGTTGAGATGACTAGAAGAATTCCACCCTGAGAGAATCCATTGCTGATAAATTAAACTTGCTTTCTGGCCCCTTTGTGCTTTTAAAGAAGATCTGCCCCTAGATAAGTGTGCCAAATTCCCATTGACATTATTGGGAGTTGTGTGTGTATGTGGAATGAGTAGTGCTGGAAGCAGCAGGTCTATGTCCCCACAACAACTAGAACCTCTCTGAAGCTATGACATTGTTCTTCAGAATGTCAGATTAATTGGGGCAGAGGGGAGTAAGTCTCTAGCTGTTATGGTTGCTTAGGAAACCTCAAAAATGTAACCAATGCAGAAATGAGTCCACAGAGAGCCTGGAGCAATAGTTTGGGGATGTGTGAACCACCCTGGAATAAATAGTTTGCAGTAGTGTGAATCTCCCCCCCCCCCCAAATGCCCAGTGATGATAACTGTTAACTATTTAATTCCTCACATAAGGCCTTGTCTGCATGGGAAAGTTTGTTTGGGTATAACCTAACGTGTGAATTCAAGCCAACATAGTTACACTGATATAACCTCCGGTGTGGATACTCTTGCTTTGCAAAATGAGTTGTGCTTTTTTGGTTTAACTTAAACCCTTTCCCAAGTGGTATAAGCTAAAATGAAAAAAGGCATTCTTTTACAAGTTTGAGAGTATCCACATGGGGGATTGTATCTGCATAACTATATTGGTATAAGGCCTTGACTACACACAAAATTGTACTGTGTTAATTATACTGGGTATAGTTAAATTGGTACAACCCCTGTAGTGTGGATGCGGTTATATCAATATAAAGGTGCTGTATGGGAAAGGGAGTAAGCTATACTAGTATAAGGCACCTTTATACAAATATAACTATGTCCACACTAT